GGCTTAAAGGCGTGTGCCACCCCCGCCACCACTGGGCTTTTTGTTTTTGTTGTTGTTGCTTGAAGCATGTTTTAATACTTTACCTGGCTTGAATTTTGTAACATACGAGGAGACAGGTTGTAATAACCAGGAAAAATGGTTGTGAAAGAACACCTCATTCCATGGTGAAGCTGACAAATTGTTACCCAAGTGCTTTTTCACTGAATACTATCATAAATATTTAGATTTGATTTTTAGAGATTTATTTTTGGAGGGAGAACCATTTCATTATGATTCCCAAAAGTTTTTTAACTCGTTTTTTCTTTCCATAATTATTTATTGAAAGTTACACATTGTGTTTAAATCATCTTATCAAAATACTGCAATAGAACTGCAGAGATGCCTCAGAGGGGAAAGTGTCTTGCACCAGCCCTGAGGATCTGAGTTCAATCCCCAGGTCTCATGTGGTGGAAGGGAAGAAAAGACTCTCAAAGTTCTCCTTTGACCTCCACATGGATGCCACTGCCACAGGCACCCACCTCCACATGCACAATTAATGACTAAATGTAAGAAAAATTAAATCCTACAGTAGAGCCTCATAAATAATATACAGCAGACCTTATAAATATGCAGTAGATGCAAATTTTATTATTTATCATATTTTAAAAGAAGACACGTCCTGGACATCAACTTACAATTTTTCATTCCTTATTCCTTTGTATCTGTATAGTATTCTTTCCTTAATGCTGAACTTTACAAAAAAGCAAACAACAACAACAACAACAACAAAAACAAAAAAACACACAAAAAACAAAAACAAAAAACAAAAAACCAAAACCATGCAACCATGCTAATGTTAAAGGCTAGTAGGAATGCAAACTTCACAATAAGTTTTCAAATGTGCTGGTATGGAGAGGTGCATGGCTTTTTGTTGAAATCAAGAGTAATGGCAACCAGTTGAAAAGAGGAAAATAAGTCAGAGGTGACAAGGACTTGTTGACAGACAAAAGACAGTTGCAAGGAAGCTGTTCACTCAACAGCCACTGCGACACAGCTGTGCAAAACTGTCTACACATAAAATGTTCTTTTTATGGTTCCTTCTACAAGAGATCGAAATTAAATATATGCAGGAACATAATGAGAGGATTATTGGCCAAAGCCCGAGCATAAAAGGAGAGATTTCCAGAAAAAGTGTCATGAGCAATTTCTTTTTAATGATTGCACTTTAAAATCCAAATTATAGCATCGCTGCTCTCTTGCTGTGTGAGAGAGGTGGCACTAAATAATTCCCCTCTGCTTTCATCCACCTCACAACCTCCACCCAGCAGGGACAGGTTCTGCCTCTCTGATTTCCGGGCTGGTGATTACAGCGAAGCCCACTCCTTGTTGCCCTTACAGTGTCTCTTGGTCTCAAAGCGGCATCCAAGACCTAGCTAGCCAAGCACTTCCAGGTGATGCTCTAAAGAAGCAAGCAGGAGTCTGCGCATTTCGGTTTCACTGTGACAGGAGTGATCACTCCTCCTTTTTCATTTCTATTCCTTCTCAGACGCCGGGTTCTGAGGATCTATTTTATCTCCAAGGCCACTCTATACTAGATACCTTCTAAAATGCAAATGAGCATTTTGTCATAATGACAGGTGTGTTGTGTTGTTCAGCTCCCTAGGGCTTGTCCCTGTTTACCAAGTTAGTGTAGAGTGGCTGACCATCAAGCCCATGCTGAGCTGAGAATGATGCTCTGGGCCTCTGGGAGGAAGTGAGGAGAAGGCAGCTTCTAAACTCTCTGCTTGGACACTAACAGTGAGTGCTGTCAACTTCAGGCAAGGTCAGAAGTTTTATCCAGGAGCCTCTGGATCACTGTGTTTACCTCAGGCTTCTTGGGAGAGAGAAAAGCAACAAAGGTCTGTGATTGCAGCAATCCCCTCCTTTTAGTTGCTTTCTTTTTTGTTGGTTTTTAATTGGAGTGAAGAGTTGCTAAGGTGTGCACCACACAAAGCCCACGAAAACTCCTTTCTTAGAGCTAACAGACCTTTACAAACACCTGTTTCACTATCACAGCCTTTTAGCATCTGTCCTCTTTCTGCAATCTAAGTACCGCATGGAGCTGTCCTGTTGTTTCTGAGGAATGAAGCACACTTTAGTGAATGCCATGACATGCAGTAGCTGCATTACCTCGAGTCTGTTTCAACAAGGAATTAAAAGGATGCATTGCATTTTGGCGGGGCATGCATGTCGCTAGACCCTAGTGCTTATTTGTCTGGTTGTTCAGGGAAGACGTTTCTGCGTTTTGGTTTAGTGCAGCCATCTAGCGTTAGTGGGGGCGGGGGGGGGGGTCAGCATTACTTTCTGTTAGCAAGGGAAGACACGACCAAGCATGTGAGATCATCCACAGAATTTCTTTTTCAGTTTAGCTGACTTGGCTTTTAAGGGGCAGAGGGACAGTTACCTGGAAGCACCTACAGTATCCTGAGCGTTATTGACATGAACTCAGTTCTCTGCAGGCTCCTGAAGAAGTTAGTTCACAGCCATGGCATATAAGGAAAGGAAGGTGCCTTGGCCACCTCCATGCAAAGTGTCAGCTGACTACTGCTGCTAATGGGCCGGGCTCCTGGGTGCTGTCTCTCATTTGGGATTTGGGATTTCTAACAACAGAGGTTCTCATGCAGAGACACGGTGGGAATCACAGAGTTTACCTCTCAACATGAACATTGACTCTGTTGTTCAAACTAAGAGCGATGGACACTACACCTCTGCTTGGTTCATTTTCATATCGTATCTGCAGGACTAAGTTCAGAAATGGCTACACTAAATACACTGGAAATAAATGAATATGTCCTACAATCTACTCAGATTAAAGCCATTTCAGACTGAAGTCCCAGCCAGATACATATAATCAACAAATTAGATGAACTTAATCAAAGACATAATATTGACAGATTCTCTGGGACTGGGGGAGGAGAGGAGATAACGTGGTCCCGTCCTCCAGGGGCTAATACAAAAGCCATTTGGGAAAGTGTCTCAGTTATCTGTGCCGTGGTGCAGTTTCTCAGACTGTGGAGACAGTAGAGCTCTTTTTCCTACTCTCTGGTAAGCAAGGCAATCAATGAGACATTTCTTGAATCCATGCCTGGTTAGGGAAACTCTTGAGAATTGAAAGAATTTGATTCACAAAAAGGTTTAGCAGCATTCACAGAACGCGTGTTCTAATTACTACATGCTGTTTGTGGAAAAAGCGGTGCTGATTATTTCAGAGGGAAGCGTGCCAGCCCCAGCACAGCAGAATGAAATGGGGATTCGTAAGCTTCTAGACTGGAGCTTTAAAAAAAAAAAAAAAAAAAAAATCCTTCCTTAGGATGGTTACACACATGCATGCAGATTTGAAAGAATCCTGGAATTATGAAAACATGGGGGACATATTTAGCAAAATCTGGGGTGGATTTTGATGTATTACATGTTTGAGGAATCTAAGATATAGGGAAAGATATAAAGTATAGGTGTCCATGTGGTTTTATTTTGTTTGTGTTTTTGTTTGTTTGTTTTTAATGCTATAGATACTGTGTATATACCTGAGTCTATGTGCATGGTGTGCTTGTGTGTGCGCCAGTGTGTGTGTGTGTGTGTGTGTGTGTGTGTGTGTGTGTGTGTGTGTGTGTGTCTCTTCATCATTCTTTGGCTTAGTGCCTTGACAATGATTCTCTGGTTGAACCGGAGCTGGTTGTGTTTTGTTTAAGCTGTCTCAGCAAAGTGTCCCAGGGATCCCCCTGTCTCATCCTCCTCCCTCTCCAAGGCCACTTCCTGCTTTCATGTGAGTGTGAGGTCCAACACAGTTCCTCATGCTTGTAGAACAGAGGACTCTAGTCTGCTGAAATACCATCCAGCCCTGATAAACATTTCTTCAGGGATTTGTTAGACAGCTGTTTCTTGGGCATTGTGTAAAATACAAAGATTTTCCAGATACAAACAACATGGAAACTGAAGTTATAAAAGAAAATGCTAAGTCCAAAGAAAAATGATCATCAATATGCAGACTTCCTTTTGCAGCCGAGATGCTTTAAACCAGCAATGAGAGTAGAGAGCAGCAGGAAGTGGTTTTCCCGTGATCCCTTTTGCTTTGTAAACATGGGATAACATAAAGCAAGATTGGCACCCTTCCTTCTCCCTCAAGAGTCTAAACCCCACTGCACAATATTTATCTATCGAACTTATTTACCATTGTAGAGAGACACATTCTACAAACCCAGGAAAGGGAAGACTACAGACATAAGGAGCTGATTCTCACAGCATGATTCTCTTCCCACAGCAAACCCTGCGACTTGATTTCCATGATTAGTATGGGCAGCAAATGTCCGGAGCCTACAAATGGAGGTGTCGTAACAGAAACAAATGTCCCAAGGCCACCACCTTCTCAGGCCCTTCAGCAACAGCTCAGGCATAATTTAACAAAACAACAAAATTACATTTATCACTTCGTTGAAGAACTGGACTAGGAACCATTACCAGATGGAACAGAAGTAATTTTACCCCTGTTTCTTGAAACTAGACTGTATCCACAATACTCTTTCATCTATACTCTATCATAATGAAATAGTGATAATACTTGCTTGCTCCCCAATAAGTATTCAAAGCTTTATTCAGACTATAAGAAGATGCACAGCAAAAGTGGGGTGGAGAATACATGGCACACTCATATTGTTCTCAACGCACTTGAACAGAGTGTGGGAAATATCCAGACAGCCATACAAACGATTGCTTTTCAAGTGTTTGTGTGTGGGGGTACTGTTATTAATTACTCCAGACAATCGCTATAAACTTGCACCGTTTCTAGCCAACTGGCCTGTAAAATTATCCTATGTACAAACAGCCGTAACTGTACAATTTCATGAGCTGACCTCTGAGATGAGTGTACAAGTCAGTGACATTAGCTGCCACACACAGGCTACATGAGGTGATAGCTCTAAAAACAATATTTCTATAGTTATTTATTTTTAATTTGTTAATTCATGTACACCTTGTTGTTACAGGTGCCCACAGAGGCTAGAGGGCATCTGGGTCCCCTGACCTAGAGTTATATACGTCTGTGAGCTGCCTGATGTGGACACAGGGAACTGAACTTGGGTCCTCTGCAAGAATGGTATGTACTATTAATATTTGAGTCATCTCTGAGTCCTGAGATAATATCTAAAAAATTCTAACTATGCACTTGATTACTACCTAACTTTGAGAATGATGTCATTGACTGAACACACCTTGCTCAGCCAGCTGTATTCTCTGTGGTTTAAATGATTTAAATATGGTTTAGATACGTTCCCTCAGGAATGGTCTCAGGATTCTTCACCTTCATTTTCCTTAAAGCTTTTAATATCTAAGAATGTTTCTATAGCACAATTCCCTAATCCAACGTGTAATGCTAAGTAAGATGATTTGCAAGGTGAAGTCCAAGGGCCGGTCTATTTGACTTCCTTGTGCTTTTTCATCCTGCCTTGCTAGTTCCATTGCTTCAAAAGCAATAGTATCACATGTTGATCTCATGTTAGTTTCCCAGGGTCACGATTAGAAGAAACAGAATGCTTGGGAAATGTCATATACAACTTAAAAGTTAGTTTTGAATCCATTGCAATAAAGAAGGGAATGAGATGAAGATGGTCTTGAGATTTGTAGGTAGGGTAGAATTAAAGACACTGGCTAAGGGGTTGGTGCAATGACTCTGTGGATAAAGGCGCTTGCAACTGGAGTTAGATCCCCGGGGACCTTCAGCTGGATAGAGATAACTACACAATTGTCCTTCATCCTTCACAGGTGCACCATGGCATGTGTATACCCTAGACTATGTAGACCCCTCACACACATGAGAGAGAGAGAGAGAGAGAGAATAATCATATATATATATATGTACATATACATATATATATGTTACAATAATGCAATGTGAAATATTTAATTTTTGTGACTGGATGTATTAATAGCTTCAGAAAGCCTTCCTATAATCCCACAACTTCTCATGGAACACTGCCTGCACAAGTAAATCATTACTGCATATTTCTCTCCTTTTCATACTAGAACTGCATTCTTTCCAAGATCCAACCATGTTTTATCCATCACTAATACAATATTTGACCCAAAGTAGACCCCAAAATGATCTCTGATCAAATTAATATTGATCACTAATTTAGAGAGTTCTCTCTGTTTGAACATTAATATTCTTTATTTGATCATTACTATATTTTATTTTCTCTTAAATTTTTTGTTTGACATTTTTCAAAGCCCCACCCTTCCTCCTGTTCCAATAAAATTCTAGACAGCCAGTTCATAGGAGGGCCTGGAGCTCTATGTGTTGTCCTCATGGGACATCTTTCTTCAGCAACTCAGGACAAGCCACTTTAGAACTTGAAGGTGGATGTGGCCCTGCAAGGTGTCTGCTTCCTTTCAGAGGTGTTGTGGTCAGTGAGTGGACAACTCTAATAAAGGTAGGGTTACAGGTTTTATTAGCTTGACATAGAGAAAGCCTACTGCAGTGTCAAAGACTGTGTCTTCACCCTCAGTGAGTTGTCTTAGGTCACAAAGTGTATAGATTACTCAGAACAGACTATTAACTGTTGGAAAAACAAACAAGTGTGTGAGGTGTAATATACAAGAGCCAGAACAGTTTTAACTTTTGAAATGCTGACACAAACCAACCAAAGAATATAAACTTAAAACCAGCATTTTTTCATGTCCCCTTAGATCTGTGGGTCTTCCTTCTACAGTTCCAAAATGGTCAGACTTATCAGGAAAATCAGTGCTAACTATTAGAGACTATATCTAATTCATTGCTAGAACCTCCACTTGCTTATCAACTCTTAAAAGGGTAGCTATGTAGCTAGAGAGATGGCTCAATGGATAAAGTGTTTGCTTTGTGAGCATGTGGTCCAGGGTTTGAATCAACAATGTTCGTCTGAAAACAGTTGGATGCCTGTACCCCTGTGGGTGAGGCAGAGCAAAGGGGATCCATGCAGCTCCTTTGGCTGCTAGACTGGCTCATTGGTAAGCCCCTAGCAATAAAGTGGACAGTGATCTCAGCAACACATCAGCCTCAGGTCCCCATGTTTGCATGCACACATATTCACATGTATGTACACATACACACAGAGACAGAGACAGAGACAGAGACAGAGACAGAGGGAGAGAGAGAGAGAGAGAACAGTCAATCTGAAAATCTTTGGTAGTGATTATGGTTAGCCTCTGAGTGTGACGTAGATTGTATCTGTGTATTGACATAGAGGTATGTAATGAAATAATGGGGGTACTTTTCAGGAAAGTGAAAGGGGCATTGCAGGGGTGGATGGCAATAGAGAGGGGGAATAGCAAGGTATAAGAGATCTGAAGGAGACATGGGAAAAGTTGGGATGGGAGCTGTATTTGGGAAAGAGTGAGACGATAACTACAGAAGGAGCTAAAATAACAGGATGTCTGAGAAGGTCATAAGAAGTTATACTACTAGCTATTTACCATATATATATATATATATATATACATATATATATGTATATATATTTATGTATATCAGTGTATAAAGATTCATACAGAGCTTAAATAACAATGCTACTCTTAAGTCATAGATCAACTAACAAAAAACCCTAAATCAGGCATGAGAGTCCTGTTTTGAATTGTTGCTCAGGGTTGTCCAAAGACTGCCAAAATACTATAGGCTATTATTGGTGTTGCCTTTGGTTACCCCCCAGAGCTTGAAGGTAAGTCCCTATTTCTGAAGACACCACGAACTTCAGCCACAAGGCCCAAAAAAGCCCTTGCCAGCAATCTGACATAAACACCACCTCCCCAGTATCAGATGCTGTGGATGGCAGCTTCCAAAGGATGGGGGCAACCAATGGTCCTACCCAGCTGTGATGCCTATGAATCACATGAAGGACACAATAACCCTGAGGGTGCAGTAGTGGCACGCACACCTTGGTGGTAACCAACGGCTCTCTAATGGGACTTCAGGCAATGCCTTCCTGGTGTTGAAAACCCAGCCAGCTTCGCAGGCCTAGTGAAATCATGGATCTTAGAGAAGAAGCTATAACTGATACTTTACTACTTTAGTGCAATCACTGGCCACATTCTAAACATTTGTTCTTACATCCCCAGATAACTGTAGTCATCATTTGTCATCAAGGAAACTTCTCTTCGCAACAGATGGAGAGTGCTGTAAGAAAACCATAACTGATCAAAACATAGAATTGTGGGGCCCACTCGCAACTAATATATCTACAGCACAACTCCCACTCTTAACACTCAATGAATCATTATGGAAAAGTGGGTGGGGAAACTTTAAGAGTCAGAGGACCTGGAAGTTTGTTGTGAGATCATGCTTCCTAGACTTGTCAGAAGTGACATCCATGAAGTCTCATCAACATGGCTGCCTCAATTTGACCTGAACAAGAACAACATGAATAGACATGCTAGCACAGAACACAGAAAGCCCAAGAGGCATCAACCATACATAAAGAACTACAGGCAGCTAAGGAATGCTAACCGTAAAATAAATAGTCTTCCACAGGAAAGAGTACACCAATTAGTTATCCAACACTAAATTGTCAGCCCGGAAAACAGACATACAAGTAACATACAGATTGTACTATGTATTTAGGAACACACACACACACACACACACACACATTACAACTGCCACCACCACCACCAAAAACAAAAATAATAATTAAAAATAAAGAGATCATCAGTTTGAAAGAGCATGGCAGAAGCAGTGGAGAGAGGTTAGAGGGAGGAAAGGGGATAGAAAAATGATGTAATTATATTATAACCTCAAACAATTAAAATGGTTTTTGTTTTTAAAACATGCTTTCCTACACAGAAGCAACAGTTCATTATATGTGACTCTCTGCTTTTTTGACAAATACTGATTCACAACTCACTGGCTAGTGCCCAGAAAGAGCCATTTAGAAATATTTTTATATGTTATAATATGCTAAATTCACTTTTATGTAACGGTGGAGAACCATGAGACACACTTGTTACTTGAGTTTTCCTCCCAGTTCCGCAGCTACCTCAGAGCCCCAAATAAACACTTGGACATTATATTAGTTATGAACACTGTTGGCTGGTGACTAGGGCTACTTATTGGCTAGTTCTCTCTTAATTATTAACCCATAACTACTATTCTATGTATATCTACATAGTCTTTGCTTAGCGGAGAAAGAGTCCGGGACCTGTTACTCCTCTCGCATGCTACATCGTGATTGGCTGCCTACATTTCCCAGAATCCTCCTTGTTTCCTAGTCCCACCTATCATCCTACCTCATTGGCCACAGTGCTTTATTAATCAACCAATAAGAGAAACATATGTACGGAAGACCATCCCCATCACACACTGACAGACAAGGGGCTTGTGGATGCCAACTACAAGTCACACTGTCCTCATGAAGTGATACTTCTTCAAGGTAGAGTGCTCCCCATAGACATTGGGATCCCGTGGTCCATGCTTTAAGTCAGTGTGTTCACTGGGAAGACTGACAACAGCAGCCAGTTATCTTGACTAGGTAGGTTCTTAGATGAGGAGAGAATCCAGCTCTTAGAAGAAAAAAAAAAAAAAAAAACTAGAAAGGAAGTTCGGCTTCTACCAAATTTCTTCCTAATCATTCTTTTCTAATTTATTTTTGTTTTTATTTTTTTTCATTTCTATTGCCTGTACTATTTGGAAGTAAATGAAACAAATGGTCATTATTGATTTCTCAAAATCAGTGACCTCCAGGTTTGATGAGAAACTTTCTTAAAAAATAAGGTACAACATGATGAAGCAAGACACCCAAAGTCAAACTAAACCCTGCCCTCTACCTACATGTTTATGTACACATACACCCCATGCACAGGTGAACACACACATTACATACTTGTGGACACACAGTATAACTAGGACACACATTTGATGCCGTAAGTTACATGTCATCAGAGAAATTAAATATATACAAACGGATGATAGAACAGGATTAAATATCGAAGAATAGACAACATGATCTGTGGTCAGGACGAATTAGTGCTCAGAGTACAGGGAACAGAAGTGTAGCTCCTTGTATGATATTTGAGCTGCACAGGTTCCCAAGATTATCACATGCCCCAAGTCTTAGTCTGTTTGAAATG